TTAATCGTGATCCTGCACCCTTAGGAGGAGATAGATATCCAGAATTATATGACAAATACCCGCCGACCGGTTCGTCATATCCTGGTAAGAACCTGTTTTATCTCGATGACGATTATGACATACGTACTCGTGGATTAGAAATATTTTTTAACTAGCTATTCTCATTTCAATACTTTTTGTGATAATCTAATGTAGGCTACGGACGCGGAGGCTACTACGGTTCGGAATTCTCCGGCGGTGAACGGTTTCCTGACAGAGGAGTTCGTCCGGCGCCAGACAGGTAAACTGGGATAATTTTGAGGAAAGGATAGAAAGTTAATTTCAATCAAGGAGAGTACTGGAACATATAATTTTTTTTTAGATATCCAGTTGAACCTAGACCTACTTTTGGCATAAGAAGACCGATTGACAGGCCCGGAGGATATCGCGGAAGCTATCCCTCATCAGGTCTGGATAGACCAATAGGTATGTCATAATTTATTATACATTTTAACAATTTAAGTTTTATATTAAATTCAATTGGTATTTTAGGTGGAGGTGGATACGGAGGATACGAAACTGATGGACCGATAGGCCCTGTAGGAGGACCAATCGGTGGGCCGATTGGAACACCTATAGGTAATCCATTAGGTGGTCCTATTGGAGGCCCGGTTGGGGGGCCCATCGGAGGAGGCGTCGCGGGACCTCTCGGAGGCCCAATTGGCAGACCGCCAGTGGGCAGTCGACCATGGCAAGGGTCTCGTTGCGAGGAGGATAGTTTCAGACAAGTTGGCCGGCAACGTATGCAGAGGCGTTTCGTGCGACGATTCACCACGGCGCACTCTCTGGCCCATTGTCAGCGAGAGTGTATAGAGGCTAGAGATTTTATTTGTCGCTCATTTAATTACAGGTAAATTATTTACTGATTTGTTCGACACCATTTTAAGAGATGATAGTTTATAAGCATTCTTAAACATCTTTTTTATGTAACATCAGGGAAGGTGCTTATGGAGAGTCTCGTGACAACTGTGAACTTAGCGACCGCGACACGCGGGAACTTGATGCTGCTAATCCTGCGCACTTTGATAATACTGCCAATGAGTATGATTTTTACGAGCGAGCTCTTGGCCGCATGGCTGACGATTGTCTCGATGGTAAGTATCGTAAGTTATAGATTCAACAAGTAAACTAATATTCCAACAACCGATGTACTTATACTGCATTCAGGGCATATTTCTGCAAATGCAGTACTAATATAATTTAAAAAGATGTGTTTCTTGTAACTTGCTATTTACAGTGTCACAAGTGTGTAACGAAGATGGCATGGAATTTACGCTACGTCTTCCCGAAGGATTTTTCGGTCGTATGTACACGTATGGGTTCTACGATCGTTGTTTCTTCCGCGGCAATGGAGGCGTCTCGAATGTTCTACGAATAAGCGGCGCGCACGGCTACCCTGAATGCGGTACACAGCGAGTGAGTTCTGTTCATACATTCTAAAACTAGACTGACAACCTAACCTACTTTCGCAGGACGTTGGTATGTTTCATATATGTTTAGATCTCATATGGACAACGCAAGATCTAAATGTATTTTTTTACAGTCTGGTATTTTTAACAAAACGGATGACTTTGTCTTTTATAATTGTTTTGTAAGGAGAAAGTATAGGATTTCATTTAATTTTTTTCATAAAGTCATCTATTAATCAAAACCGACTTCTTATTTATATTTTAGAAAGAACTGTACCAGGATCATACGACAAGTAAATCTGTAATTGTAAATCTTACTAATATTATAAATGCGAAAGTTTAGATGCGAAAGATAAACGGCTCAACGGATCTGGATGAAATTTTGCATAGTCGTAGAGGATAGTCTGGAAGAACACACAGGCTCCTGTGTTATGTTTTTTTAATACCATGCGGACGGAGTCGCCAGTAATAAAACTATTTTTTTTAATGTCCTCGCAGTATGGTGACACGATGACGAATATAGTGGTAGTTCAGTTTAGTGACAACGTGCAGACCTCTCGAGACAAGAGGTTCAATCTTACTTGCTTGTTCCGTGGCCCCGCAGAAGCAGTGGTTACCTCGAATTACATTGGAGCTGGGTGAGATTATAATACAATAAGTCGTTGCATTTATTTGAAAATCGAAGTTCTATTTAAACTGTTATTTGTTCTTTTATTGGTAGATCCTGGTAGAAATTAGCATAAAGTTATGATATTTTAAAGTGCAAATTTTTTAAACACATGTGATGTAAAAACAATAAAATGTTCCACTATACAATAATTTTTCGTTTAGTTTCCACTCTCGTAGTAAGTGTTTTTTTTATTTTTTCTATGGAGAATGAAAGTTTGACATGTTTTGTATACTTCGGTAGTGGAAACCGACGGTTATTTTTATAAAGAAATACAGATCAACGTAATGGTTTATTATAGTTAACTTCAGTTTTTCAAATAGAAACAAGTTGTTAATTTAAAAGCGATAATAACTGATAACCAAGCGTGATGTTTTACTTAGTATAATTAGAATGGATTTATTTAGATTTTCAATGTTGTTGTGGGAAATTCAGGGCAATTTATAATAGAATATGTTTGTATATGAATGGTTTGTCGTTTGTATGTTTTGAATTTGGTAATTTTTTTTGTTTGAGTTTTTGTGTGAGTTTGTGTGCATTGTTGCTTATTATGTTTTTATTCATTACTTATTATACAATTTACATTATCAGTAGGTTAATAATTATACTTGTATTGGTTTTATTTGCTGTTTTGTGTTATTTCACTAACAGCTACTAACGAAAGACTCTGAATGAACTCTTAAAATCAAAATGAATGTCCGATAAATTAAAAAAAAAATTAAAAACATCACTGACCAATTTCTATGATGTGTTCATTCAGAGTCAACGTGCATAACCAAAGTTTTACTTCAAACCTAACCGTAGTCTTGGTTACAATTTCGTCGACAGATCTGGCAGTCCCATCCCTATCGAATACCTTCCCGAGGAGAGTTCGTTGAACTCGAAAGTTCGTTTGATGATTCTGTACCAAGGCCGTCCAACAACTACCATTGCTGTGGGAGACCCGTTGACGTTTAGACTTGAAGCCCAAGATGGATATAACTACGCTACGGACATATTTGCTACAAATGTAATTGCAAGAGATCCTTACTCTGGCCGCTCTGTGCAACTTATAGATAGAGTTGGGTATGTAGTAAAAATAATTCGACGTTTTAATTTATGAGAATATGTTTTTGGTAATCATATTAATATTATAAATGCGAAAGTTTAGATTCATGGATAGAGGGACGGATGGATGGATGTTTGTTAGAGTTTGTAGCCTAAACGGCTGAACGGTTCTCGATGAAATTTGGCACAGATGTAGAGGATAGTCTGGAACAGCACATAAGCTACTCGCGTTTGTTTTTTTTTCCGCGCGGACAGAGGCGTGGACGATAGCTAGTTGTTTGTAAAATAGTAGAGTTCATTCGATAAAACTGTGAATTCGAAAATCTTTGGTAAACCAACTGAACAAAATAGCTGAATGAGTTATTCTATCTTCGTGTAAATATAAACGTAATAGAAATAAACACGATTTTGCGTCTAACAGAAAAATTATAAGATCTATTAACTGCTAAGTTATTGAAAGGTTTCATCGATTATTTCAGATGTCCAGTAGATCCTGATGTTTTCCCGGAATTGGATAAAGGTCGCAATGGCGATTCGTTGGAAGCAAGATTTAACGCTTTTAAGATACCAGAATCAAACTTTTTAGTATTCGAAGCAACTGTGCGAACATGCAGAGATGGTTGTCAACCAGTTAGTATTTCATTAATTTACCCCTCTTTATATTACCGCAATAAAAGTTTCAATAAAACGTGACCTTTTGGCATAGAAAAAACACTGGCGCTTGATCAGTATGTTTTTTTTTAATAATAACTATCCGATAGTAGATTTACGTCAAAGACAAACACATAAATAATATTCTACAGCTTATCAAATTGCAGTCAGCATTTACTTGATCCCCTGAGATTATCTCGCTAACACTAACCAACATAAATAGAACATTAATGCTACTGTATAGTCATGTTTATGTTCTTTACTGATTATGTGACGAATTTGTTTTTATAGGCTTACTGTCCAAGTCACACTGGGCGTTCAGAGCCCTCTTTCGGTCGCAAACGCCGTGAAGCTAATATTACATTAGAAACGGAAAGCAACAGTACAGTAGCAAAGAACGGCTCTGAAAGTAACAAAGAAAAAAGCGATGAAGCAGGAACCGTTTACAAAATCTCTTATGAGGAGACCAAAGTCGATAAGTATCTTAAGGATGAAGTGGAAACACCAAGTCATGTCAGAAAGATGATTGAAGTAAGTCTCGGCTATATTGAAAAAGCTTTCATAATTTTTATTCAGTAGCCTAATAACTTGCTCCTGTTGACCTGATGTTGTTATTGAGCATTGTGCTGGTAGAGTTTTTATTGTTTTTTTTTTTTATATTTAATAGGTATTTGACAATCGCAATGAGTTACTGGAAGAGAACGGAGCATCAGACTCGTCCCCAGTGGTGGCAGCAGCCGGCGTTTGTGTCTCTCCCTACCACTACCGGTCCCTTTTGGTAGCACTTTGCGTCCTACTCTCGTTATTACTGGCAATGTTAACTGCGGCGTTGTACATCTACAGGTATATTTTTGTTGGACATATTTTTGTTCTATTAACTATGATATGTTTCAAAATGTTATTACTGATGCTTGGAGCTACTATTATTTCATGTCAAAGGATCTCTTGCGTTAATTTTGGTAATTCTTTCAGACGTTATTGGAGAGTCCTGCGCAAGAACATTCAAGCATCGAGTCCAGTGCCAGATCTCAGACCAGCCGCCCCCGGACCACGGACCAATCGTCCCTCTTTGTTCTCCGCATCACATCTGCATAAGCCTTTCTCGTTGAGGTATTATTAGTTTTACTGTACTGACACTAAATATTTCATACTATAAATTCAACGTTTTGCTCATAAAGTAACTCTTAATTATAGACATAATAAAAGTAATCACAATGTACTTGTTATAAGAGAAAACAATAAATATCATTTTTTTTCTCCAGTGGTCTCGGTCGTACTTTTGCGGAGGTCGGTGAAGAAGCTGGTTCTTCGGGGAGGTTAGCAAATGCCTTCGACGACGGAAGCGAACCAATCTACACAGATCCCTCGCTATTTGAACGCTCGCGGTCGCTACGCTCTCTGCACTCACTGGACATGAAACCCGAAAGACGTGATCGTCACTCGTAACTTCTTTCTTCTAAATTCAAAATGGCGTCGTCCAATGTCTCGGATGACGGTTATAATACAAATCTACACATTTTCAAACTTACTGCCATAACATGCTCAGTTTCATATCAGTTCACAGTTTTTTTATACTTTACAGATTTTATTACTTTACTATTAAAACTATTGTAAGTCAGTACTAATATTAAACGAGAATATTTACAGTAATCATGTTTTATTTATGCCTTAAATTAAATACTCTTTATTATTCAATAGCGCCTGTGGATTTTGAATACGAGACTTTTAAGCATAAAAAGTATGTAAGTTATAAAGGTTCAATAATACAGCTGCGTTTTAATTTTGCTAAAGAGAAATATGTAATGATTTTTTTTTTAATTCGATATGAGGCTAAAAAATGATATTCAGCCAGAAATAATAACAACTTACACATTATCAATTTTTATTTTCCTCTGAAGCTTGCAAAATATTTTTCTTAACAATATAAAAATTTTATAAACACAGGTTCGAAATGAAAATTACACCAAAGAATACTAAAACATAATTTTTTATTCATCAGTAAAATTTCAATTGTAGAACATAGGCCTTCAGAAAGATTGCTATAAAAATATCTTTTCTTGTCCAGAATCCAGTGAGTTCCTTAAATGTTTCTTCACAATTATAAAGTCGAAATTCTCTATACTTAAAAAGAAATAACAGTTTCACATATTATGATAAGGCGCAGGTGTAGGCACACTCATCAAGGGAGAGTCCAAATATTCAATTTCACTAGTACTTGGGGCTGGTTCTGCTTGAGTGTTTAATTTTTGTTGCAAAGCCTCATGCAACTTATGCACTGACTCATTATGTTGTGTACCAGGCTGTAATGCCTTCATAAGTGTATGTATCCTTGTTTCTGGGAGTTTTGGATATATGTACCATAATAATTTCAGTATATGTCTAGTTACATTGTCCTTAGTAAGTCCGGCAAAGAAGAATTCATCAAACAGTACTGTACTAAAGTCTTCACCTTGGAACTCATCAGGTAGTTGTATTAACAGTGCTACAAGGGCATGTAAAAATGGGTCTTCATATGCACGGCCATCTTTACAACTACCTAGAATACTGAGGATACGTAGGAGGGCACCACGATCACGTAATTTTGCCGCATGCAGTGTGTAATACATAGCTAGCACCCCACATACAGTACTCTCTCTCATGTAAGCCTCACAAGCATCTGGAGGAGGTCCGGAATGTTCTATTGTAGTAATTGCAGATTCTCTTTCATCTGGTGGTAATTTGTTGTGCAGAGCTCGCACTTGGTCATCCACCATAAGTGACATTAGTGCCGGTAAGTATTTAGTTACAACTTGACTATCCAATTTGGGTTCCTTGAACTCTTGTGAATCTATCATTACCCAAGCACTTAAGCCTAATGCTAGCATCCTTAATAAAAGAATAAGTATTGTATTATCTCTAGGAAGACCTTCAGTATTAATTAAATGCTGAAGTATTTTAATAGCTGAAGTTGCTAAGAAGTTGATAGCATATGGATCACATAAGGTCATAGATAAATCACCCAGAACCTGCTCCTGTCCTCTTTTAATACTGTCTAAAAATCCTTGCAGTTCACGAGATCTCTTAATATCTACATTTCTTTCTCTAATACAAGCATCCAAACACCAGGTGAACTTGTGACAAGGGTCAACAGATATTATATCTTGTATTTCTAAATCATGAAGTGCCATTAGTAGCTCAGCTCTCAAGGTGCAGTAATGAACATTTCTTGTTCGTAAAAACAATGTACGAAGGAACTGTAGCACCATGTCATAGAGTTTGACACTGGTGCCTATCATATGAGCAAGTTTCTGAACCACAGTACCTTGTCTCCTTACTTTTGGTGAAGGTGAAAAGAATAAGTTAGTCAGATTTTCATGGTCAAATAATACATTCTCTTTTTCTCTTATATATTGGCTGAGGAGCGGTGAAACTTCATCTCCAAAAAGTGATTGATTATCTTGCCAAATTTGTCGCTTAACCTCTGTGTCTGTATCATTGTATAATTCACGATCTCTTACTAAAACTCTAAGATATTTATCATCAATATGTGGAGTGTTTTTTAATATACTCATTATTACAGGTCTTAAGGCTTTAATTCTTACGATTGCGAAGCTCTTTGCTAGTAAATCTTTTAGTTTCTTATCATTCTCTTTACCTTCTTTTGAACCTAGCTCGTTTATGTGCACAATGAGTTTATCTCTCAATTCCTCCAAAACTGATGTATGAAAATCAAGCCGGCGAACACCATGTAAGTCAAGCAAAGGCAGCATTGGCCTTAAAGAGGGTAAAAGAATACCATTTTCTAGTTGAAACTCTTCAATAGCTTTTAATGGATCAGTACAGCTAGTCAAAGCGTCACGGAGGAAGGTTTGGCCAGGGACGCCTACCTCTTCCAGCCCTGTCCCACCAGGTTTACTGGTAGATGCCATGATTTGAATTCTTCACTGAAAAAGTTGAAATTACACCTCAACAAACTATAAACATTTCTTCCCGGATAAAATATATTTGACAATGTCATTTACTTTTCAATTTCAGCTTCCGATTCCGAATCAAAGACAAAGATGAACCAAAACCAAAGAAAGTGTATAAATATTCAAAGATAATCATAGAGTATTTTCTTATTCTGTGAAGTCCTCGACATTGACTTGAGAAATGTTCTGTGATGACAGCCAGTTGACAATGACAATTGACATTGATATTACTGTGAAACACTAAACATTGAACTGTGGAACTAAATTTACTCTAACTACATTTTTAAGCTAGTTTTTAAGTAAAATGTCTTTCTGGTCCTACCAGATAAAAAGTGACTAATTCAACCACAGTTACAAAACTTTGGTAACATTTCAATTAGGTTATAGGTATAGTTTATCATCAAAAGATTTTACATTACGATGACGGACAAACAGAAAACGTAAGATTGTCTTATTTTGATAATTCAGCTTGGTATTTTCTTATGTTATATTTATTCCGTTACATATAACTTAATATTATTTTCCAGCCTCGTTTGCGGTGATGTCAATGGAAATTTCAATACATTGTTTTCCCGCGTTGAGTCAATTGTAAAAAAATCTGGCCCTTTTGATATTCTGCTTTGCGTGGGGAATTTTTTCGGCGATGACAACTCTCAACTTGATGCATATAAGATGGGTACTAGGAAAGGTATGTCGATTTTTTGTAGAATTATTGTCTAAAATATAAAAAAACCTTGAAAGTAAGCTTTAAGGTTAGTTGCCTATTGCACTGCATGCTATGCTGGTGAAGACACCCCCTTCAGTTGCTATTAGTGCTACTGCTGCTCCTATCAGCTTTACATGTTCACCTACCTTATTATTATTACACATTAAATTTGATTCTAAAATGAAATTTAAAAAATATGTTTCCAGTTCCTGTAACCACATATGTTTTTGGACCCAGCGATGAGACCCATGTTAAGTATTATTGTGAAGAAGGAAGTGAAATTGTGCCTAATGTTGTCTATATGGGTATGTTTGCATCATTCTTTGTAAATGAAGATTTGTTGCTTTTTAACTATTATTTAGTACTCAAGTACAGTCGGGGCAATTGCTAGTATTCCACCTCAAAAGCTACTGTTGTTTGAACATTTTCAAACAAGACATGGGACAATATAATGCAGATTATTAATGTATCTACATAAAAAGTTGGTTACTGATACACATCTCATGTCTTTTTTATTTACCCTTTGTTTACACTACTTACTACTATCTCCTTAGTTACTTGTTTGAAAAGGCGGAGTTTGTCTTGTTGTGATGAAAAAGGCAATGTTTCCTGAAGTGAAGCATTGCAGATTTTCTTAACTGTACAATTTTAATAACTTATTATATTATAATATGCACTTCTAAATTGGTTATTTATCATATTATTGTCAGTTTTACAAATTAAGTTAATATTTATGGTCCTTCAAGCAGGATGTTTTATATTTTAGGTAAACGGGGTATATTTACAACCAGTTCTGATGTAAAGATTGCCTATTTGACTGGTCTATCACGGAGAGAACTGGGCAAGGATATTCCAATGTGCTCATTTGAGCCGAGCGATTGTAGTGCAGTTAGAGACTCCTGTTTCCGAGGACAGAGTGAGTATAGAGGTGTGGATGTACTTATTACAACTCTATGGCCTGCCGGAATTGAAAAGGATGATTGTCAAAAGGTAAACTATACTATTATAAAGAAACATTTGGATTTATGGATTTTTGTATGTATTTAAAATAACTCAAAAACTATTGGGTTGATTTGAATAATTCCCGCAAAATTAAAAAGCTCTGTTATCACTGAGTAATGTAGGCTATATTTTTACAATTCTTTTAATTCAGAAATAAACAGCTAGTAAAACGTATATCTATAGTGCATTTGAAGTAGGAATGCATGTTAGATTTGTTAAAAACAATTATTTACAACAGTGGTAGAGCCCACTTTAACATCTTCGCACTAATGGGCCGGCTCGCCTGTTGTAATACCACGACCACACAGAAGACAGGCGTGAATTGGAAGCAATTCCGCATTTCGACTGATGAGTATGGTGCATGAGGCCTAATTTTTACCATTTACCATTTCACCCTTTTCTTAGAGGAAAAGATGGGAAGGAAATATGGATTTGACAGTGGAGGAGACGCGTAGGAAGGGGAAATGTCCTCTTTATGTGCGTCTCTTCCTCCGTCAATTAAGGGTAGGTAACGCATCTGAAATTGCGGATGTTTATGGGCAGCAGTCACTTTCCATTTTGGTGGATTCAGGCTTGCTCAGGGTGCTTGCTTGTTTGCCACCATATTATAAAAAAGGATTGGTGTTTTTAATTTTCATTTATATATTCCACAGCACGGTTTGTGTTATTTCTATGTTTCAGATGGATGTAGCAAAAGATTGTTTGTCAGATTTAATTGCTTGGTTAGCAATGCATATTAAGCCAAGATATCACTTTGTACCTTCTACAGATAAATATTATGAAAGGCAACCATACAGGTAAGAGTAGTTGATTTACATGTCTGTATTAAATTTTGCCTAAAAGAGTAATAGGTTTGAACATAGTACTTATATGTATAGGCCTATTTTGTTAACACACATTGTATTGCTTTAAAAATAAATTAAAAACACCACATACACATTTTTTTAAAATGTATTGTACATGTTACAGAAACCAAAGCATACATCAAGATTATCGTGAGTGTGCGACAAGATTTCTAGGTTTAGCCCCCGTAGGTAACAAGGCCAAGGAGAAATGGATATATGCATGCTCTTTGCAAGCTATCAGTAGAATGCGAATGACAGATCTCCTGCAAGCCACCACCGATGAGACTGTGTGTCCGTACGACGTCGAACTAATGAAGCAACATCAGCCTGGTAAAGTTGTTAAGGTAAAAATGATCAGTGAAGTTTGAATCCAACCTCTTTGGCGAGTTTTAATATCAAATATACTGGCCACTAACAATGTTTCACATTTTATATGTTGAAAAATATGTATTTTGCATTATTTGTTCCCACTGACCTTTATAAATGGACAGGCTATATGGTAGTATTTTGTGACTATTTGATTTTCGCTATCATAGCGGTAATGGTTGCGGAAGAGTTTTCGAACTAAAAATAGTGATAGACTTAACTATTACTAGCTGTTACCCGCGACTTCACTCGCGTGAAGTTATAAAATAATAAAAAAAATATAACCTATGTAACTCCCTGATAATGTAGCTTTTTATTGGTCAAAAGGATTTTTGAATACGGCCCAGTAGTTTTTGAGTTATTTCAATGCATAAAAATATACAAATCTTATATTATTAGTATAGATAAAAAGGCGCGTTTCAAACGAAAATAAGCAAAAGGTGTTATTTCCAAAGAGTCGCTTATCTTAGTGATTTTTATTTCCAGTTTTCTGGCAATGGCCAATACTTTTACAATTTAGATGCAGCAGACGATGACCAAGGTAAAAGAAAAAGGAAAGGTGGCGATACTGAACGGAAGCGAAGGGAATTTGATCCAGGTATGTTTAAGTCGGATAAAGTTTTCATTGCAAAAACAAATTCTCATTTTTGTCATTCATATTAAAATCCGAAGTAACCAATTATGTATATCTGTACCTACTTATATAATAAAGTGTAAAAACACTATTTCTTGGCGTAGGATGACAGCAATCGCAGCATATTTTTGAACAATTCTTTCTTTAATAAAAAGCCACTTACAAGATATACTTACGACACGCTTTAGGATACAATTTTTACGCTATTAATCTTAGGAGTTAAATAAATTAGAAAAAAAAACATGTGATAAAGGGACCATAAACAACAAGCTGCCAACATTACGGAAGCAAGTTTATTATGGTAACGGTAATTTTGACATTTGCAAACAATAAAATAATTTATAATTTCATGAGGATGAAGCCGTATAGCAACAGCAAGTAATAAATGTTGTAAAAAATATTTATCTATATATAGTTGTCATATGCCATGTTTAAATGTGTTTACATACCTTTAATTAATTTAATTACCTTTTGTTTTTGGAGAGTCTTGTAGGTAATTTTGATGTGTAATATATTATCAGACAGTTGTTGGTTCTGCCTCTCCTCCCCTACCGTGGAGAAGCACCTGGTGATATGCGTGGGCGCGCAGTGCTACCTCGCCCTGCCCAAGGGCCCGCTAACTCCGTACCACGTACTCATATTACCCATAGCTCACCACCAGTCTCTCAGTAAGGTAAACTTTGTCTATATAATATTAATCATATTAATATAAATGAGAAAGTTTAGATGGATGGATGTTTTTTAGATTTTCTAGCTTAAACAGGTGAACGTATTTCGATGAAATTTGGTATAGATTACTCACTTTTGTATTTTTAATCCCACGCGAACGGAGTCGCGAGCGAAAGCTAATATTATATATGCGAAAGTTTAAATGGATGTTTGTAAGAGTTTGTAGCCTAAACGGTTGAATGGATTTCAAAGAAATTTGGTATAGATGTAGAGGATAGCCTGGAAGAACACTTAGACTACTCACTTTTGTTTTAATCCCACGCGGACGGAATCGTGAGCGAAAACTAGTCTTTAAATATAATAAAATCGGTGTGTCTATAAGTAATATCAAAAGAGGACCAGATTTCGCAAAGATGTATTTGCGTTCTGATAACGAACATCGCATTTAATTTTTTTTTGTCTGTTTGTCTGTTCGCAAGCCGCGTTTTTTCGGGTAAGCTCCGAAACGGCTGGGCCGATTTGGAAGGGACAGTATGGATGAAAAATTGCTGTATAAATGGTTGCATTCTATTGAATACCACTATATTTATAAAAAATAATTGTATTTGTGAATGAAAATTTACAAACATAATTTGAAGTTGAAATTGAAATAACAATTGAATCAAAATATTGAACGAATGAATGAACAATTGAATGAATTAATTCATATTAAAGTCAGTTCTATATTAGGCACCCGACGAAGTTGTGAACGAGATAAAGAAATTCAAACAGGCATTGAAAGAGTTCTATCGTTCAATGGACAAGTTGGTCGTGTTCTTTGAGAGGAACTATAAAACATCGCACATGCAAATACAATGCGTGCCCGTGCCTACCGCCTGCGAGTCACAGATATTGGAAGTTTTTCAGGTATTTTCCCATTGTTTTAACATATTTTAATATTATTTGGTTTTTCAACAGATATCAAAACAACCTTCAATATTCAGTAGTATCTATCTTTCTAATATAATAAAGCGTAAACGAACACTACTTTGTGACGTAAGATGTCAGCAATCATAGCATATTTTTTTTAAATTCTCCTTTTAATAAAAAGTCTTACGCCAAAAACACGCTTTTGGCTATAAGTTTTCACGCTATTTAACTTAGGTGGTAGGTAAATTAGAAAAAATGTCACGCAGGTAAGGGACCAAAACTACAAGCCAATAGCTGCAAAGAACCAAGGTCATGGTAACGATTGTCAGCCAATGGCAAAGGCTTTTTGAATTTTTTACATTTGAAATTTTTATTTATTTATTTGTTTACATAGAAAGTTTTATAAATATAAACAACTAGCTGTTTTTGAAACCACGTGAAATTAAACAAGTAAAAAAATATAGCCTATGTTACTCTGCGATAACGTAGGTAATTTTTTTTTAATTTTACGTGGATGAAGCAGCACTGGAACAGCTAGTTACATTATAATGGCAAGTTACACAAAGTAAAATAAATTCAAAAAGCGGTAATAAAAAAAATAACAAAAAATGCATTTGAAGGTAAATGAAACATGTTCAGAGTCACCAAAATATCTTTATTTGTTATTATTTTGAGAGTTTCTTTGGGGCGTTATGTGATGTAGCGTATTATTACAGTTTTTACATTTATATTGGCGATTGTAGATGTAAATTGGTCAAAACGGGGTCGGCAGTGACTGACTCTATTGGCTCTTTGCGGGTCACCGCGGCCAAAGTCTTGTAGTAACGCCACGCGGAATAGATACCTATTAAGAAAAATTTGAATGTAAGTTAGTTTTACAGTTGGTTTTCACTGCCGAAACATTAGCGGAAACATTTTGTCTCTGAAACGGATTTTTTTTAACACGTAAACTGCCACTGACTTACTCGGCAAATTCACTTTCAGATGCAAAAAATATATGCGTATATATGTTTTTACTATGAAAACCCAATGTAACAATATTACAAAAAAATACTAAATCTAGAAATTGTCTAGAACTGACTGAAAGGGAGAGGTTTTCATGCTATAAAAAAAGAAAATCGTTTAAGTCACTTAACTATGACACAATGGTATTGACATCATAAAAATGATCCTTCTAAATCGAGCGAAATTGTTCCCTACCTTTCCCAAAAGTCGTTATAAGATATCGTGCCCGACATCAACTTCATGAACTGCTCCTCTAGTATCGGGTTGGCTTCTAACCGTTTAACTGCCGTGTGCGGTCCAATCATGCCTGGGATATAGTTTTCTGTGGTCGCGCGCCATGCTTCAAACTCATCACTCGCCACTGGCACTGTGTATGTCGCTTCCACACGCTGCAGTGCTTCTAGTTTTTTCTAAAAAGTATGAATGCAATTTAAAAAAAGTTAGAAACACAGATATTTTTTCATGTTATTGATCGACCTTGAACAGGATGACGTAATGATAAAGTCAAAAATTTTAAAATCAATTTGACATTTAATCAGACAGAAGAGTAACATTCCCAACGTGCCAATCTAAAAAGCCGGGTATAAATACATAGTAGATCACGGTATTAAAATTTAGGGTTTGTGAGAATATACTAAAATAGGGTAGGTTTTAGGGGCACGTTTCAGATATATCTCCCCTGACTTATCCTACTCTCGTAGGGTCGGCGCACCGGGTTTTCGTCCACCATATAACTCTGTCATCCGTCATCTGTCATGACTCGCTTCTTGATCATGTCACCTTTTACGCAATCCATCTCTTTCTGGGTGTACCTCTACCGGTGAATAGACAATTTTAGATATAACAATGGTGATAAAAATGTTAAACTAACCTTGTACGTAGAAAGCTTTGTTGTATCGCCTGATGGCAGTACCACCTCGCTATCATCATCCGGCTCCGAGTTTAAATCTATATTAACGTCCTCAGGAAATATAATTTGTATATCCTTTTTGATTTTATACATATCTAGTAGCAACGCCCTAAAAACACGTACGATCTGCAACTTCAAACAAGTAAAAACTATATTATCTTATTACACCAGATTGCACAAATATTATTTTTATGTACACTAAAATGACTCATTCCAATGTCAAAGGTGCAGTAAATGTTGCCCGCTTTTTTGCGCAGTGTTGTACTTGTACCGGTTTGTTGAATCGTAACATTTATTTTGGTATCACGATTAGATTAAATCTAAGAGATTAAAATTATTTGTAAATGTAAAAAAATAATTGAACATGGTTATGGCACTTTTATTTTGACAATTCATAGTTTAGTTTTACTTATCTGTATAGAATACTTAAATAACGGGATAAAATAATTTCGGGTTCATTTGGGTATCTATTTTTTTTAAGGGTCGGTAAACGGTTAGGACTACTTTGTTTAAAAAAAAACATAAAAAGTGACGATTTAATAAACCGGTATCGTATTATACAAAAGCGGGCAACATTATTCTTAACTTTGACCTTGAAGGTGACTAGTATGAGCTAAAAAGGCACCATATTTGAAAATAATCTAGACAAGTTTAGATAACAGTAGTTACTAGTACTAATTTTCTTCTAAAATATATAAAAACATTTATTTTAATGGAATCTAAAAAGCAATATTTCAAGTTTTTTTTTTTTAATAAATAACACATATTACATACCTAAAGTATATTTAAAATTGTTAGGTACGATTTATTTATTTTTACATTTAGATTTATCTTTGTATTATACGTTACTACGTATTACGTTAGACTATAACAGGGGTGGCAAACATTTTTGTATCAAAGTGCCATTTTTAAAGAAATGTTTAATGCGGTCTTAGACGTGCCGTCGAATAATTTTGAAATACTCTATACGTTTTTCGTAGTGTTTTTATGATCAACGACGTGCACAATAATTATGCTAACGATTCGCCACCTCTGGACTATAACATCATTGTGATATACATATATGTGATGACATATGTAGAACATTTTAAAAATAGACTCCTTAGAGTTTTTCATACGTAAGAAACGCCCTGTATATTACAGGATGAGGCGGGAATAAACAGCATACAGATGGAGGTGTTGCCGCCATACGCGGACATCGCACAGGTGGTGTTGCCCGGCGCGCCATACTTCCACGCTGACCTGCCCTCAGGGGAACAGATATTCGCCAAAACCAAGCAACACTTCCCGTTGCAGTTCGGAAGGTAAAAATGTTCATCGAAACTTTGCAAACATTTTATAAAACAAAACTAACAAATATTAGAATCTCGTCATAGATACTAAAATAATATATAGACAAGGCACTTAACAAATTTTTTCATCAGTAATTTCTCTGAAAGATACTACATCAGTTGTCAAGTTTAGTACCACCTTATGTTCTTGTATTGACATCTATACATATAATACAATTGGAGTGTCTGTTTGTAATATCAAATTAAAAAAATCCATATTTCGGGAAGATCGAAAATCGCAATTAAAATTTTCTTGTCAGTCTGTTTGTCTGTCAGCAAGCCGCGTTTGTTCCGGGTAATCTCCGAAACGGCTGAGCCGATTTCGACCGGACTTTGACTGAAGGGTAGCTGACATAAACGGGCACATTATAGGCTATTTTTTTTAAATTCCGCGCTGTCAAAATGGTGTAACCGGTGGTACAAATTTGCTATGATGAAGTTTGCGGGCGACAGCTGGTGTAATATAACATTTTAAGAAATTGTAATTAGTGAAGGTTTTGTCTGTTTTAGGGATGTACTATCGAGTCCTCCGATACTGGACTGCGAGGACAAGGCGGACTGGCGCCAGTGCTTGCTCTCGCGCTGCGACGAGGACGCGCTCGTCGCCGCGTTCCGCAACAACTTCACACCGTACGACTTCACTGTGAACGACGATACTGATACTGAATAAATACATTTTAAATATATACTTGTTTCTCTCACCTTTCTAATAACTTACTAATATTATTAATGTGAAAGTTTAGTTGGATGGATGTTTGTTAATTTGTAGCCTAAGCTACTGAACGGATGTCGATGAAATTTGGCATAAATGTAGAGATAGTCTGGAAGAACATATAGGCACTTTTTATTTTCACGGAGGCGTGAGCTAGTAATAAAGCGTAAACACACACTTCTTCATGTAGGATGTCTGCAATCAACGTGTTTTTAAATTATTTTTTTTTCAATTAAGTATCCTACACTTCCGATAGCCTGTCTATAGGCTTTACATTTCACGCTTTATAGGGACACAAATTGGAAAATATTGTCATGAACATGGAATATATATATGGAACACCACTGTTACTATAACACTTGCACTTTCACTCCGCGGTCACTTAATCTTCTTCATAGTTCACTTTCCACCGTATGACTCCCCTTATATACCCCGAATTTCGATCTTCTTTTCGTTATTCATTTGTCCTTTTATTCCAGAACTTTCTCGATAGTCCGGATTACATAAATTTCATAATGGAACATTCTCGAAGCCGTTTCGAATATTCGAATCATCTTTTCGTGAACGTCATTTTCGCTGCTCACGGCGATCGAACATTCTGGAAACAGCTCGATTATTCTTCGAATATGTTTTATCACTACTCTACTATGACGTCACAACACTATAATGCTTAAAGATACAAGCTCCCCGAGTATTCCCGTAAAATCGGGTAAAAATTTGTTTCGATTTAGATAGACTACTCATTTATTCTATACTAAACATTCGCATTTATAATATTAGTAAGATGTGATTGTTAATGAATTTGTGTATGATGTAGTTTTGAGTCATGATTAGAAATCTATTTTAAAGTTAACAGCGCTCTTTTGGAAAATTTAATTGTGGAACTTTACAATATATATTTAGAATTAGCAAATTAAGAGCGCCATACATTTTTATGGGATCTTTAGGCCCTGCTCAACCTCTTCAGTGCCCACAAGGAGGGTTATAGCCCACTCTAGAAAAGTCAGATCTAAAATAACAAAACCGTTGCATAGTTAATAGTTAGTCGTAAAAGATTAAAAGATAACTCATATTATATCTTATAGTAGAGCTTATATAGATACTAAATTCTTTTTCTTCTACTTGTAATTTGCACGCATTTTAAATTTTACGATAAGAACTACAAAGCAAAGGTACGTATATAAAACCAGATTTGTGCAGGATCTATTAATATCCTTTGAACGTATAACTTAACTCGACGACCAATCAACGCTTGCGCAGGGTCCAACACATACAAAACAAGAAGTCAACGCTTTGGCGCTGTATAGTTACAAATTTACATTCAGTATAGTTTTAAACTCAGAGACCAAACCTGTCTTTAGACCGAAACTTTTGTTGGCTTCCCAAAAATGTGTGCAAGTTATAAAATTGAAAAAGTGGTATTGAAATTGAAAATGTTTTGTCATCGTAAAACATTTATTTGTGCTATTATTTCTATGTTGGAAAATGATAACCTAATCTGGTCAAAGGAAATGACGTTTGTTTGATGTTTTTTATTCTCAATCTATTTTAATTCGGCAACTTATAAAAGTGGAAATGTGAAAACAAAAGGAAAAATAAATTATTACATTTAAATAGTTAACTTTCACGTACAAACAATACGAACGGCTAAAAAATGTTTGTATATCGATCAAGAAAGTACGAAATGAAGTTGGCGCAGGATAACAATGATAAATCATGTAAAATTGAGCTACAGATCAGCTCACGCTTCGCACAGATGAGGCGAATCAGTTAACCGCATCGGATTAATTTGTACCTGCATAGAAGTAGGATATGCGAGCTGCAAGTCACCGGACAGTACGCAAAACATAATCACCTAGTTATAGTACAGGAAATTGGGCAGCGAGATGCTAATTTGTTGTTGAGCCGCAGCTCAATGGTTGTCTTTGTTAGCTCATCTGTCAAACCGGTTCACTGCTGATTTACTTCCCAAGAGTCACATATGAGCGGCGTATCAGTCTGTCAGTACACGAGAGGAGATACAAGTCTCAACAAGTCTCAAAGAGGTTTTTAGGTAATTATATTAAAATCTAAACAAATAATTATTTTAATTCATGTTAAATGATTACAAATTAAACTTTTACATAATATATAATAAATTAGTGGTAATTCGTAAGTAAAAAGGTATATAAACGTCCATAATATCGTACGACAATTTTTGTTACTTTTCAAACTTAAGTTGTGTACTTAAGAATAAAACCAGCTATATATTCAAATTAATACAGATTTACTTATACATGATTTTAATATGTAACATAAATATATTTAAAGCAACTAGGTAACAAAATGCTATTAAATGGCGGGAAAATCATTATCTTCTTTAGTTATCAATAAACTTCATTAAATGTTTGTGTAATAGATTACGCAATTATTACATAACATCTGAAAGGTTTATTTTACATTTAATTATAAGTTTTAATTGTAAAAACTTCAAAATAAATATCTGCTTGTAGGTTAGTTTGTTGGTTTGCATCGCATTTATAATACACTTATTCTTGCTCGCGACTTCGCCCGATTGAAATTAAAAAATAACAAAAATTGTAGCCTATGTTACTCAAAGATAAATTACCTTTTAAATGGTGAAAGCGTTTTTACAATCGGCCTAGTAGTTTTTGAGTTTTTTAAATACATACAAAAATAGAAAAATGCATCTACTCTACTACTCTTAATAACATTAGGACAGATTACTGATTTTCTTTATTTTTGGCTGGATGTTATAGTTTGGTTTAACGATTCATTTTTTATTTTTTACAAGCTGGAAATCAACAAAAAGCTGGAATTGGGATTAGACCTTTGCCACATTATTACACCTCGTTTGTCCAGCGACTCCTGGGACCTGCAACTAGTCATTATAACATAAAGGTACATACAAATGTCTTATTTTCAAAATGCTGCTAAATGTGTTAAATAAAAGATTTATAACTGAAGACATGTATTGTTGGAATATGAATTGCTATAAGTGTGTAATAAATATTTTTTTCCTGTTTAAAACTGCAAAATCATCAGTACTTGTGGATTTTTTAATTTACCAAACCTGCTGTTGAGCCTTATGTGAGACTGTGTAACTTTTTGAATTTGGCGTCAATCTCTGTCCAGCGCCCAGGGCATAGTTTGTGTGACTCTAACGATACTTGAGAATGGTATATTTATTTGCCAATCAAATAGGAAGGAAATTAAAATTAAATATAAATTTACTGCTTAGTAAACTTAAAGTAAAATAATTAATTCCCCAACGCATGGTCATTGCAGGCAGAGTTGAGGCAGGAAGGGCGGCGAGGGTGTTTCTTAGTTTAGGAACGCGCGCCGACTGCCGCGCGTGCAACGTCGAGCGTCGGTAATGTATTCTATCCACACTTTATTTAATTATAGGGAAATTTAGAAAAATTTGAAGTTATTTAATAAAACCTATAATAATCAGACAATTTTTAATTATTGTAATTGGTAGATATTCATAAAAATATAACTTAACGATGAAATAAATAACATACCCCTATTAAAATTGAACCAAAGACCAGTTACGTAACTTACAAAATTTGCCTAAATGTAAATTATCAATGTACAATAACACGTATGGTAAGCACAACTGGGAATATCTTCTTGGCAACATCGTGCTCGAGCGAATAGTTAAAAGACATTTCCGACATTATAGTTTTTAACCAATATACTTATCCCTTAAGTTTAATAACGTGAAACTATATAGCCTAAAACGTGACGTTATTACAGGGTTTATTACTAAAGAAAGAATTAGTCAATATGCTGTGATTGCTGACATCTTACGCCACAAAGTAGTGCGTGTTTGCGCGTTTTTATATTAACATGGAAGTACAGATTGAACGTTTGTTTCAGAAATCAAGACTTCCTTAGTTACAACTATATTGCGAGGAACGTTTCAAACGTAGTCGGAGACGTATTGGTGACTGAAGATAACATAATTTTATTTTACACTCTCACTGTATATATTTTATTATTTATTAATCACGGCTACGATTCATTAATTTTTCAATAAGTATTAAATATAATTAAACATATTTTAATTGATATTTCTATCTATTTTCATTTTAAATTGAGAATTCAATTATATCCTTACTAGTTAAACAAACCTAAAAAAACACAATGGAGACTTCATCGGTAAGTAGGAACGAAGAAAGTGTTAATAGAGTTGCATCTGACGCCAGCTCCAGTAGCGATGATTCTACGACGTTAGATTGTAAACTGCATCAGATTTTCCTTAAATACTCTGCCAACCTTAACGTCGTACATCTCAACGCTCAAAGCATCCCCGGTCATTACCTCGACTTCCTACGTACGTTTACAGGGGCTCATAGCATTGACGCTATACTAGTTTCAGAAACGTTTTTAAAGCCCGATATGTCATCTGTTCACTACGGTCTACCAGGATTTAAACTTATACGCAATGATAGAGAAGGTAAGTCCAGTGGAGGAGTGGCTATTTATCTTCGCCAAGAAATACCTTTTAACTACGTATCTCGCTCAACCCGGGTTTATTCTAAGTCCGCGGAACATCTCTTCATTGAGATCTTTCCAGGCTGCACAAAAGTATTACTTGGCGTGTATTATTCTCCGTCTTTGAAAATCAAGTACTTTCAATCGTTCGATGGTTTATTGAACCGATTACGCTCCCAATAGGAACACGTTATGATTATGGGTGACTTTAACACGTGCTTGTTAAAAAAAGACAAGCGAGCTCTAGATTTGGTCCGTATTTTAGATTCCAATTCATTGTACATTGTCTCCTCAGAGGATGCGACTCATTTTGCACCCAATACCAAACCTTCTTTACTTGATTTGATGATCGTTTCTAATTTAGATAACGTTGCAAAGTACGGCCAGCTGACTGGTTGTTTCTCTTATCATGACATACTTTTTATGTCATATAAAGTACCATCACCTAAACAGAATCTCTGTAGCAACTTTGTAATGGAGATTATTCCGGCGAATGGTGTAACGCCTACGTCACCTCCCACTCCAGTCTTAGAGCCGTTGTGGCGAATGAGGGATGTTCAAGAAGCTTTCGATAGACAACTCAAAGCTAAAAGAAAACTGAAAAGAAAGAGAACTCCAAGTGTATTAATCGATTACCAGAACTCTAGGAGAGTCGTTAGGAACTTAGAAGTAAAATACAAAAATACACGAGCTAATTTGCTGCACAAATCTCGAAGAACAGTTCGAAAAACAAAATGCTTAATGTGTGAAACATAGTTGTATGTTAGTGTGCACACTAGTGCGCTTCGAATCAAGATATTTCAAGAGAAGTTAATACAACAAAAAAAAACAATTTGAAAAGTTCATACAAAAAAAAAACAAATAGTGTAAATGTAATGTGCGCTCCGTATTGTTAATTGACATTAGACTTTATTGCTTAAAACTGTTTTACAACTTTTCTCTCCGTTTGTTTTCCTAACTTAATTCAACTTTAAACTTAAATTAAATTATTTTGTATGTTTTAATGAAAAAATACCCGTACCAGGCTAAATGGCCTGTGCATACGGGCTTAACTACAAATATCATTTTTTTATCATTGGTCCTGGCTAACTGGCATATAAATATGGTCCTTCGAGCCCATAAAAAGGTATCTTATTGACTTGTGTTCAATGGCGATAGCGTATCGGCTCAACTGGCCTCCCACAAGCGGGTCTCACCAGTTGAATTGAGACATGGCGCACATATCGTTTTGAGAATGCGTTTAACTTAATACCTGGCCTAATGCAAACTAACGCTGCTCCGTTGCAGCTATAAGGTTTTCCGGTAACGTAAACTGCGTGTCGAAGTGTTGGAGGGTAACTTTATTTAAATTTTATTCTAAAGTAGCTGTTCTCGTGCGACTTCATCCGCATGAAATTATGAAAATATTATTTTATTGTTTTTTATACATTTGTCAAATTGTCAATTACAAATGTCAAAATGACATGACATGAAGACCACCTTGCTTCCTTGATGTTGGCAGCAACTTATAGTCTCTTTTTTACATTAGGGTTTTTATCCAAAATATTTACCCCCTAAGTATAATGGCGTTAAAATATATGGCCTAATTGCTGACATCTTAGGCAACAAATAAGTGTGTGTTTACGCTTGATTATAACAGTATAGATTGCAAGGAGAACCCCTCCTGCGTTTGTGACCCAGCACAGGATGAAACCGTGCTACACATACTCACGGAATGTCCGTTGTTCGCAGCGCGAAGAGCGGCAACTGAAATAAAACTAAAGCAAAAAATCAATAAACAAAATTTGAAATACTTAATATGTAACAGAAATACGAAACATGAATTTATAGAATACTGTAGGTCCTTGGCCAAAGTTGTGATAGAAAGAAATAAGAAATAACAGTATACTAGTCAGTTTAGTCATTTACACAGTTTTTAGTCATTTTATTTATTTGTCATTTTAATTGTAATTTTAAATTTTATTTTGTCATTTAACTTGTATTTTTAATTTTATTATTATCATCTAATTGTAATTTTATTTTATTATTGTCATTTTTAATTTTTGCAAGTCTAGTCATTTTATGTAGTTGTCATTTTAAATTTTAGTCATTTTTAGTCAATTTAGTCATGTAGTAATGTTATAAAGCAAAACTGTGATATAAAAATAGAATAACTGTAAATTAGCAATAAGAAAACTGTAAGATATTGAAAGAGAAAAAATTAATAAATGAAGAGTTCCCACCCGCATCCAACGTCCCTTTCCCATAAATATGTTAGGGGGAACGAGAGGGCGGCATAGCGCCGCCCAATAAAAAAAAAAAAATTTACCACAACTTAATAAAAATGGACTTTCTGCTGGTTCAATAGTGTTTAATTATGCAAAAGACAGCAAGTCCCAAAAAACCCGAAGCCTATTTAACTTCACGGCTTTAGTCATTGTAACGGCATGGAAATATTTTACAGATATATGTATGTATCTTTCGTCAAAATAAGAGCTTGAAAGATTTCACCAAAGATTTCTTCGGAAAAACTAACCAGATATATCTTAGAAAAGACAGATATTCTATTACTTCAATTACGCAACGATGCAACTGATGGAACGGAAAAAGAACATTTAAAACCGGAAGGTTAAAAAAATTTAATTAGCTTAAAATATTTGGTCAGCAAATTGATAATCGAAGACCATTCATCGATTCTAAACAAAAGATGGAAAGCTATGTGTTCGCGCCTAAACAGCGCTTTATGATGGCTTGCGAAACCGGTCCGCGCTTCCCCCACTCAACGCACAGGACCGCCCCTAAAATCTGCGGGCGCAACGTCTTATGCGCCCCCGCATCGATCAGTGTGTAAAATCATCCAACAGCAACAGTAACACTCAATACAATAAATACTGTGAAATAGTACGTGTGTTTTAATAGAAGATTATAAGCCACATAAAGTGGCGACCGTAACAACACTATGGACACCACTTATTGGAAGCCTTATTAAGAAGAGGAAGGATCGAAAGAAAATTACACCGTGACACCGATTATCTAACTACAAGACAAGCAAAATCCATCTGGCTACAACTCGCAGATGTCATCGCAGTCATGCTCGGAGCGCCGGCGGCAGCATCATACCACGGCAGAAGACATCAACGGAACTGAATTATTTATGTTTACTATGTAATGGCATATCTTTCTCTTAGTAGTCATTTAACTTTTGCAACTTGGACTTTAATATATTTATTTGCTCTTTGTTGTGTTTGACAATATGTATGGTTTTACCACTCATTCGCGATCATATCTACGACCTAAACATTTTACGCTGCTGTTACTATAAATAACAATTTTAACTTCAGAACAGAGTACGTTATAAACTGTCACATAGTGCACTACTTGAAGAAAGATTGGCCAATGTAACGATACTCAAATTACCTTAATTTAAACTTAAATTAGCAACTAACTTTTTATGTGTGTGTTAACAAAAAAAATAAATGTATCATTCCACGTCGTGTTTGTGCTCTATATACACCCTTTCCAGGCTAACTAACACCCACAAGCGGGTTTACAAACTAACTACCATTTCAACTGGTCAATTTCCTGGTGCATATGGTCGTTCGAGCCTACAACTACCTACTTCGACCATAGTTCTGGATAACTGGCCTATACTCAAACGTAGCTGTGAAAGTTTTTGGCTTTGATTTTGTACGTGACGCCCCCTCTAATTATATTTGCTAGAAGGAAGTTAGAGTAAGGCTGAAGTGAAGGCCACTACAGCGGTCTACGGGGATCATGGAACGGTTGGAAGATATCGCAGCAAGCTCTTGTAGTCTCCGTAATGTCTAAGTAATGATGACATCTTAAAAAAGAAAATGCTGCTTATATCCGACGATGTTCTTTCGACATGGCGAGAAGCGCGACCATTAAATAAGCACTGCTCTGCTACGGGCAGCTAAAAGTCATTTAAATTATAGGTTTGAATCATAACCAGTCATATAATACGGGGGTATCCCCTACCAGCAAAAGTGACGAACCATGTAACTCTTCGCATATTCGTTCTGAAATATGTTTAGACCCAGTCATAATTGGCCAGCAAATAAGTCAACTTTGGATAAATAGAAAATGGATATATAACGGTATGGTAATCAACAAAAAAATTGAAGAGGCTATGCAAGAAATCATAACACTGCTAAAAACAAATAAATCGTGGTAAGAAACCCGTATCTTACAAACATTATATTTGTAAAATCCACGACAGTTTAAAGTTATATAAAATCAAGATTGTCCATTCATAATTTAGAACTACACTGTTTACAGATGACAGGAATGAAAGTTTAATCAATACTATAAAACTAATATCTAGAACGATTGGCAATTGCCTAATAATAATAAATAAAGATAACAATCGTCCTCGGACGGTTGTGGTGACATTTACTCGTACATCACTCTTATTGTGAGATAAATTGTTTGCAAAGGTTATAAAGGACTTGTCCGTTTTTGAGACAGATTCCAATAAACCATTAGTTGGATGATCTGTGGACACCAAATTAGGTTTAAAACCTATAAGGCCCGATATTTGAATAGCCAGAAAAGCAAAAGAATAGCGCTTATTCGAGGAATAGCAAATTCATCTGTTTTAAACGACTTTGCAAAAGGAGGTTATAAATTCGTATGTCTTTTTCTTTTGTATCATAAGGTGACAAACAAGCAAGCGACCTCCAGAATTCGCCAAAATGGCGAAGTGACCGCTGTCCATAAACATTCGCAAGAGCGGATGCGTTGCCTACCCTTAATCGACGGAGGAGACGCACATAAAGAGGATGTTTCCCCTACCTATGCGTCTCCTCCACCGTCAAGTACCGTTCCCTTCCCATCCTTCACTTATAGGAAAAAGGGTGGTAAGGAAAAGGGACTAAAGTTGGGCCTCCGGCACCACATTCTTCAGACGATACGCGGAATTTCTCCCACTTCACGCCTGTCTTCTGTGTGGTCGTGGTATTTCACCGGGCGAGCCGACCCATTCGTGCGAAGATGTTAAAGCGGGCTCTTCCACTGTTATTTTTTTTTGTTTATGTGTTACTGCTCTCAGCCCTAGTGAACCGAGTTGAATGTTTTTGATTCAAAAAGTAATACGTGGGTTTAATTTTTTGATTCAGACTCAAGACTCTGTCCCAGTTTTCTAGTGTATTACCAAGACGCATGACAAAAACAGAGGCCTGCTTTGCTTTCTTGACTTAAGTAGCCTAAACTATAAAATCTATGTAAAATGAGGTATGAAAGACGCTCTGTAAATATACTAAACCAGCTTACGGCCGCGACTCCGTCCGCGTGAAATTAAAAAAAAAAACAAACGTGAGTAGCCCATGTGTTCTTCCAGAATATCCTCTACATCTATACCTAATTTCTAATTTCATAGAAATCAGTTCAGTCGTTTAGGCTACAAACTCTAACAAATGTCCATCCACTTTCGCATTTATAATATTAGTATAATAAAAGTTCGCGATGAGATTGAAAGATAATTCATATGTTTAAAACGTAATGCATTAATGTAAATTATTTTTCTTCTATTACTATTTGCACTCATTTTAAACTTTGCGATAAGAATTTAACTACAAAACAAAAGTACGTACATATAAAAAGATTTGTGCAGGATCTATTAATATCCTATCAACGTATAACTTGTAACTCATCGACCAATCAACGCTTGCGCAGGGTTCAACAAACCAAGAGTTTAGTCTGTGCTTTGGCCTTGTAATTAACTTATTTATATTCAGTACAGTTTTAAAACCAGCGAGGTAACCCGTCTAAACCCAAACCAAAAATGTGTGCAAGTTTTAAAATTAAAAAGTGGTATTGAAATAAAAAATGTTTTTGCGTAAAATATTGATTATCTGTGCAATTTTTTATATGCTGGATAACGATAACTTAATAAGGTTAACGGAAATGACGCAATTAAGCTCCTTTGATTTTGCGTGTTTTATTTACAAATTTTATTTAAATTGGCAAGATAATAATGGTGAAAAAATGAAATTAAATATAATAAGAATTGTAACACTTAAATATTTAACTTTGAGCGTAAACAATCGGAATGGTAAAAATAATGTTTGTATATTGATCAAGAAATAGTATGAAATGAAGTTTGCGCAGGCCGGAGGAACGAAGGATCGGTATGGTAGCATACGGGAGAAAGAATCAAGTCTGAACAAGTTTATTAGGTAATTATATTAAAATCTAGTCAAATAATTATTATCATATGTGTAAAATGATGATAAAGCAATGTTTTACATAATGTATAATAAATTAGTGATAATGCGCAACTAAAAATCATTATAAACGTACGGTAATATCGGATGACATTTTAAGGTTACTTTTCAAACTTTAGTTGTGTACTAAAGAATAAAGCCAGCTTTATATATTGAAATTATTACAGATTTCTTAATTATACATTAATTTAATATGCAAATAGGTAACAACATAGTTTATATTGTATCATTTGAATGAAGAAATGAATGTGCTCAAAATTGGCGGGAAAACTGTTATCTTCTTTAGTTATCAATAAACTTGATTATTTGTTTGTGTAATTGCTTAAACGAATAATATTCATCATTTGAAAGGTTTATTTTACATTTAATTGTAAGTTGTAGTTGTAAAAACTAAAAAATTAACATCTGTCTTTGTTAGGTTATATTTTGCTGTTTCATACATCATTGTTTTTCTTTACTTTTGTCTGGATGTTATCTGAGTTTGATTTAACGATTTATTTTTTATTTTTCATAAACTGAAAGTCAACAAAAAACTAAAAAATTGTTATCCGGATCTACTTGTCAACACAAAAAACAAACTAGAGTAACGTAGCGACCCCAATTGGGTTTTGGCCTTTGCCAAATTAATCACTTTTCGTGATCCTGCGTCATCTCGTCCCAGTCCTGCACTTCGAGTTCACTTGGGTCTTTTTCCACTTCGTTTGTCCAGCGACCCCTGGGATCTACAACTTGTCAACATAAAATACTTTAAAGGTGAGTATACAAATGTCTAATTTTCAAAATGCTTTCAGGATTTTAGTCAGCAGGTGCCGAATGTAATAAGTAAAAGATTTATAACTGGAGACGACATGTGTTTTCGAAATATGAATACAATAAATGTGTAGTAACCTTTTTTTTCTAGGAAAAACATTAATTTATAATTTTTTATGTTGATTTCTTACAACATTCTTACTATTTATTATAAAAAATCTGACATTGTATTATTGCTTTTAATAAAAAACTAAATAAATACGGTATTTAAGAATTAACATTTTTGTTTTGGCTTTGAATAGTTAGTACCTAGAGTTTATGTTCCTTTTTTACATGTATATATTTGTTAACAAACTATACAGTTTGAAGCTAGAAATTTTTTTGGTAAATACAGTTTTTACAGTACCTTGAACAATTACTAAGTATTTTGAAATATCTTATAAGCCTAATTTTAGTCCCTTTCCCTTTCCACCCTTTTCTTAAGATGAAAGTATGGGAAGGAAAAGTATCCAAAACTAGCTATATTTTATTGTTTAGGTACATTTGTCAAATTCTTTATCGCAAATGTTAAAATATCAATTACCTTACTATGACAATCTTGCTTCCTTGATGCAGCAACTTATGGTCTCTTTCCCACATTAGGGGTTTTATCCAAAATATTTAGCAGCCCCTAAGTTTAATGCCGTGAAAATAAATAGCCTAAAGCGTGACGTAAGTATAGGGCTTTTTATTAAAAACAGAATTATTTAAAAATATGTTGTAATTGCATCTTAGGCAACAAAGAAATGTGTGTTTACGCTTTATTATAATAGTATTGATATAGAAGTATAGATAAATTCGAATACTCAATAGATTTTTAATAAAACTTTATTTATGAGTATGAAGGGGTACACTGGTAGAGGTAGCCGTAGAAAGACATGGATGGATTGCGTGAAAGGTGGTATGACCAAGAAAGTAATGATGACTGAGATGACGGATGATAGAGTTATTTGGAGGACGAAAACCCGATGCGCCGACCCTACGGGAGTATAATAAGGCAGTGGAAGATGAATTAAATTTGAATAGAAATAAAACAATTAGTAGTTTTTTTTCATTACTTAAATACATTTGAATTAAACATTACAGTACAAACAATAACAATCATGGGCAGTGTGTGCAGCGCCCTGGTCGAGCTTTCTACGGCGTCTCTTTTTACCTGCTACTAGATGGGAAGGGGGGTTAACTGGTTGATGTAAGAATACTAAATTGGCAGTCCTGTGTCGCTCCTTTCTGTCCAGCGCCCTGGGCGACCATCCAACCCGCCCGCATTGACTGTGATAGTTTCTGTTTGATCTGGATTCAAGTTCCGTTATGCACAAGTTCATAACACAGTCTCTAGGTTTTTATTAAAAAAATGTGGTTTAAATAATGGTGTTGAAGGAAATCTCTGCATGGACAACGTCTTGGATGTATCGCGTAGTCGACGGAGTATAGCAACGACTTCATCTCCATTTATAACAACGATATTTAAATCCAATAGCATACCACTGTAATACAAAAAGAAGTGAAATTTGGACAACAGAAGAAAATTTAGAGCTTAATGTTTTTTACTATAGTATTTAGTATCATGTTATAAATAAGATTAATTAAAATTTATTGACAATACTATCATGTTATAAATAAGTTGAAACTATGCCCGTTGAGTAATGTGAGATTTTATATAAATTTTCTATTAAAAGATGAGGAAAAACAAAACATAAGCTTACATACACCTACACATTATGATTCAAATACATGTTTTGTAACAACGCCATCTATGTTACGGAATTGGTCAAGTAAATTTTTCATTTCTCCCTTATTACCAACGAGCACTGGGCCAGCGTAGTTAACTATGATCTAATCACCTCTTAGGCTTTGGGGCTCTCAGAGGTGAAGTGAACTGATGATGACGAAGATGACGATTTTCCCTTACTGCTGCCTTCGAAGTATAGTTATCTCATTGATTTTGTACGATAAATAGACACTAAACTATTGTTTAAATAACGTAAAAAGTTATACAATTAATATTATTTTAATCAATTTACTTGTAATTTTCTTCTTCCAAAAAGTTACATTTAAAGATAAATATTTTTTTTAAATCTCCTTGTGATCAGTTTTCTCTGTAACAAACATATGAAAATAAGTCGACGTGATATTTATTTTGTGACAATTAATTTCTCCCAAGTATTCTCTAACTTAGGGTAAGCACTGAGCCACTCAGATGATGATGATGGTTGGCGATAGACAGGCGGTCAGGTGTAAAAGTTAAATCAAAACATTAAGGGCCTGTCCCACTACTGGCTGATTGTCTCAGGTTGCTTAAAAATTACGTCACCGTCATAAGGGAACAAAATCTGATATTTCCATCACATATTTTGCATGTTGGATTGTTTGGAAATTTACAATTTAGTGGGACAGGCCCTAAGGTTTCTAAAATTATGTGCGCCGCTAACTTTGTTTCCTTTATGAGAGTGAGCGTCAGGATGATAATGGTGGTCGTTGATACAGCTAGCCTAAAGGATTGACTCTTAATATTTGGGTATCCATCAGAAGTATCCTTAACTACAAGAAAGTGTAGTGATTTGTGTTGTGTTCAAAGGTAAAAAACTTCCATAATATCATATAAGTGTTACTAAACATTGCATTAACTAAACCAATATATGAACTGTTAAATAATATCTAGTTAAAATTTTCTTAGAATTGCCGCGCACGCACTCTTTTGACTAAACAATCCCAAACCGTTTGGTTGCGCTTTGATTCCTATGAGCTTATATAGAGGTGCGAGCACACTCGATTTTATATTGTGCAACTAAACAGTTAAATTGGCGGCGAAACAATAGACAATCGCACAACAGCGATAGTTTAAAGGTGTGCTCCCGCTATTAGAGATATCTATGTGTCTTTTAATTTTGATCGCTTAATTATTTTCGTAAAGCTTTAAATTTAATTTTTTGCATACTTTTTTAATTATCATAAGACCTATAATATTAGTTAATTTTAAAAAAATATTTAAAAGCACTAATTTGATACCTTAGTTTTCTTTGTCTTATGGCTTCCTTCCGTTTCAGTATAAGAAAGTGACATTGGAAGCAGAGCGTGGCCTGATTATTTGCAAATAATAGGTTTTATACATATTGGTAAATATGAATAAGTACATGAAAATGTTTCATTTATGAATACATATAAAAAATCTAACAAATTTTAAACTTTGGGATATAAACTGTATTAATTTAGGGTTTTTTGTAAGCTAACAACACGATATAGAATAACAGCCTTACAAATGAACGCGGTATAAAATCAAAATTAGAAATAAACTGAGTATAAGCAAATATTTTATGTAAGTTTAACTTTAAACTGCGTTTATTTATAAGGCTTTAACAATTTAGGTTTAAAAATTACCTTTGAAATATAACGTGTCGATAATAGCAGCAGTTTTCAGGTTATAAAGATTATGAATGTTCAAACATAATTATTTGAACGTCTAGTAATTAATAGAAATGATTGAAATGTATAGATTTCTGCGTAATTCTTCAATAAAAGTTATTATAAATCATTCTTCGTTCACATGTCTTTCTTTTGATATGGGAATGAACTCTTTAGTCATATCTTCTTAAATTTTCTTGAGTATTTTCTTCTAAATGTTATTAAAGTATGAAATTTTAACACGTATCTTGTAAATTGGTCACACGAAGGATTCTGTGTACCTTATTAAGATTTATTACTTTCATTGAACAGCGTTGGAATCTTTAGCATGTTGAATCATTGTTCTTCGTATAACCTTCTTCGTAGAAACGTATTTTTCCGATAAAGTTTTTTCTGGCTATCCTCAGCCTTTTCCACAATTTAATATCAGTAATCATAATTGTATCATTATATAACCGCTGTTTACAAAAAATCAATTTAGAATTTTCTAGAAACATGATGTCACTGGAACACTTCGAAAAACCGGTGTAAAATATTGTATGGAATAATAAAACTATTATATAATTTATTAAACTAAAACGGATTTCACTTTTGCACAACATTCTACTAAAAGACTACAAGCTCGACAAACTATCTCGTGATAAGCCACAAAATGTTTGAGTTGCGATAAATAGTCCCCTATTGAACTGATATATCTCTATATTTAAGCCATATTCATATTAATCTATAGTATTTATAAGTAGAATATTCGAATGAATACAATTTGCTACGTTATTATTACCTGCGATAACAATTTTCGTTGTAATTGAAGCTCATAATATTTTTTTAACTAAATTATGTGAAACCATATTGAGAATGCTACAATAATAATAAATAAAGATATATTGAATATTCTAATAAAATAGATCTTTATAGATAGAATTAAATCAAGTCCAAAAATATTTAGACATGGTTTATTTGATTTTTGTATGGTATATGGTGCAAGTAGCCACCGATATTTACTAAAATAGCGAAGCGACCATTGCCAAAATAGGGTTGTAAAGAAGCGTTGTCTACCTTTTATTAAGGAAGAAGCGTGCAGAAACATGACATATATGTGCCCCATCCTCTGACTAATCCACTTTCCCTTCACATCGAAAAGGGCGAAAACGAGAAGATGCCTATAACTAGGCCTTCAGCACTTGCCAAGTTTTAGGTGGAATTTCTGCCATATCACGCCTGTTTTCTGTGTGATCATGATATTGCACCGAGCGTCTTCGCACGCTTGTTATAGCAACCCACTGTTAATTAAATACAGGATTTGATAAAAAAATCAAGCTCTCTTTATTCTCTTGAAACGAAAACTAAAACGTTCATTTCTAATTATGTGTTTAAATTCGTATCTATTTATTGTAAACTCATTTCATTGTTTTTTTTTTTAGATATCAAGATACGCCGAATCTGAAAGCTGTTTCTATACATTACAAGATATTAATATTAAGTAGCAATGGAGAACGCCAACGTTAACGTTGACGTCGGGTTTGTGGACTTCGTGGAATCCGCTTCTACAGAACAAAACAACAATGAGATTAACCCAAGCGTTACCACTGACAGTGACAAAGAAGACGTCACTGTACAAAATGGACCAGAATCTGCTGAACAAAATGATAACGAGATAATTACTTTGGAAGATGAACTTAGAGAGATATTTTCTAAGTTTTCTAAAAACTTCAACGTAGTTCATATCAATGCACAAAGTATATCTGCACATTATCTCTCTTTGTTAGCAACATTCGTCAATCTCCATAACATTGATGCTGTATTGGTCTCGGAGACATTTCTAAAGGACTCTATGGATACGAATGTAGGCGATATGCCAGGTTTCCAACTGATCCGTAACGATAGAAAGGATAAAGGCTGTGGAGGAGTCGCAATCTATTTGCGCAAAGAGCTGCACTACGAAATCGTCGACAAATCTCCAAATCGTTACACCATGTCCGCTGAACACCTGTTTATTGAAGTCATTCACGAAGAAACTAAAATACTCCTGGGTGTGTTTTACAGCCCATCTTCAAAAATTTACTACTTTTCAACATTCGAAGACTTACTCAAGAAGTATCGTAACAATTATGAACATTATGATATTCTTGGAGACTTTAACACGGATCTATTAAAAAGGAATAGTAGACGAAAGAAATTGCTCTCTATCATTGATGGTCAGAACTTGCACCTTCTGCCTCTCGGCCCGACTCATTTTGCCCCCGGGTTCGCACCATCCATTTTGGATTTAATCATTGTCACTGACTTCGCAAATGTAGCGAAGTACGGTCAGCTAGGAAGTTATTTCTCTTACCATGATTTGATTTACGTTTCAAACAAATTAAATTTTTCGAGGAAAAGGATCCCTATCGAAATTGTAGCTAGCGGAACTAAAGAAGAACCTTTTTGGCAAAAACCCAGTGTCCGAAGAGCTCTAGCGGAACAATTGAAAGGATTAAAAATCTACAAGGAGAGTGATCGAGGTGAAAATGATTTAAAAGCTTATCAAAAAAGCCGCGAACAGATCAAGCAACTCGAAACGGAGTTTAAACGAGAAAATCGTAAGAATCAAAAAGGCCAATAAACCTTGGTGACTTTATCTATTGCATTTTAAATGTATTGAAGAAGTGTTACCTATGTATTCCACTTGCATGTTAATTCATAAGTACTGATGTAGCAGCTAAGGACTTACTTGATAAGCTCCAAGCGTTTGGTGTTTGATATGCATTTATTTTATAGCATCATCTCACTTCTAAAGCATATCCTTTTCACACATTCCTTTCATACTTTCTTCGGTCTTCCTCTACCTTTGTAGTCATCCACATTCAGTCTTAACACTCTCTGGTTTATGTCCCCATTCTCTCGTCACAAGACATGTCCATCTAACCTTTTGCATTTCTTTTGTACGAGTATATGAGATGCAATCAAAGTAAAGTTCACTAACAAATCTCATACCATTTTTGTCCATGATTTATAAGTACGTTCTCGTAATTGTCACGTTCAAGATAGAGTCTTTGTAATGTTTATGTTTCGTACAAAGTCAAGATTTAAGGGTTTTATAACTTCGTTTCTAACTATTTTCATTCTACTCGTCACAAGCCATCTTTAAACTGTGATTAGTTTATGTAATAAGTAAGATAATTATGACAATAAATAGTCAAGTATTATGTTAAATGTCACGTTATAATTTATGTTTAGATTAAACTTAGTCTAATGATTTTAATTTATTTTGTTTTTAATTTATTTTTTTATTCTATTGAATGTTTTAAGTTAAAGTGAAATGGCTTTATACAATTATTTATATTTTTTGTAAGTTCTATCAGAGATGAAATTTTTTATTAAACAACACTAGACATCACATAGGAGTTTGTTTTTAATTTTTTATTGCTATGGTTTCCATTTAAAATGTGATATATTTATTCAAAATTATTGTAATGAGATAATTATTAAAAAAAATTGTAGTCTGTTTTTGGTACCGCATTAAAAAAATATTTTATTATGTTTTTTTTATTCTTCCACTCCCTGGGTTCATTTCAAATTATTTTTCAAGACTTAAGTAATATCATTTCTATATTGTCTACTTTCTTATACGATTAAAAATAATTATATTAATATTTAACGGTGGATTAGCTTTTAACAAAAGTTTTTAGTAATTAAAATATTTTTTTATTATAAAATATTTTCAAAGAGCCATGGCAGTGGCATTTCAGTACTCTAAATATGTATTACAAATTACTTGTGGTAAATTTCGGCGTAGTTGAAAAATACCATGTGCCAAGCTACCGAGGTATACTGGTGCTCACATTTTAAATTTCACGATAAAGTGTACATCAAACAGTGTGTTAGTAATTTGAGTAGAGATAACATCTCTTGGTACTTTTTTTTATGGTAAATATGATTGAAAAAAACCTTAGATATTTCTATATCAAGCAAATAAGTTGCAAAACATTTGCATATCTTTGATGTTTAAAAAAGAGAACATATAGAATGACATTTTCTTTTCCCATACATAACCCATTTGAATTTATTATTTCTATCCTCGAAATTTACTAAAAAGAAGTCAATATTTTTATTTTAACAAATACAGAGGATAAATATTTATTTGGCATATTACATTTATTCTTATTTAATCTGTGAAATATGCTTTTAATAAGTAACAATGATAATTTAAATGTCTTCCTTCCTCTTCCTGTGGATGGCTACAAAGGAAGAGGAAGACCAGAGAAAGTATGGATGGATTGTGTGAAGGAGGGTATGCTAGAGAAAGGAGTGGATTCAGATATGACGGCTGATAGAGATGTATGGAAGAGCAGCACATACTGTGCCGACCCTCCATAAGGGATAAGGGCAAATGGATGATGATGAATGATTATTTAAATATTGATACTTTTAGTATTCTCTAAAATGTAGAGGTACATCTTTCATTTTTTTAAACAAATACTAAAAGTGGTTATCGATTATAGAGTATCGTATACTTATACGATACATCAGTCATACAATCGACATTATTTGATTTGATATAATTTATATATCTCTATGGTTTTCTAGTATTAACATAATATAATCTGTATAGATAGTATATGTGATACTATATGTTACTTGTATTATATACTACTATGAAGTAATGTAACAAAATGTACATAAATCTTTTTACATTATAAATGCGAAAGTTTCGATGGACGGATGGATGTTTCTTAGAATTTGTAGCCTAAAAGGCTGATCGGATCTCGATTAAATTTGGCACAAATATAGATGATTGTCTGCAAGAATACATAGGCTACTCACTTTTGTTTTTTTAAATTCTCCGCGCACGGAGTCGGAGCCGGAGTATTCTATAAACGTTCGTTGGGACTCTACCAGTTACTAAGGTCAGCGTATGAAGTAGTAAATGACTAAGCGAACAACATACCAAATGTGTTCAGTCGATGTGCAGACGCGTACATACGGAGTATTCCTCCGTATTTTTATACACAAAATGTATCGATTAAGATTATTTTTAATCAATTGAAAGTGATTATTATCTGTGCAATTTCAGCGGGAAAGAGACAACTTTAGAGGAAATGACGTAAATATGATTTCCAGTCGTTTTAATTATTATTTTTCTACATTAAGCATTTTAATCATATTAAAAAAAATATCAGATATAATATAATGATAATATTTACAAACTGTATTGTGAGTGTTTAGTATGTAGATTAGATTATAAAAAAATATGTCATGTATTTGTAATGATAGAGCAGTAAGTAACTTCACAAAGGAAGTTTCTAGGAGTCATACAGTAGTGGGGAGTTCCAAGTGAAAAAAACAAGTGCTTCAAGAAACTTTTAAGGTAATATTTAATAATCACTCTAAATCTAGAATATTATTGCATGAATTTAAAATCAAATCTATAACAGCTAATAATTATTTGCTTAATAAGTAAGCAGAAGCATTGTACTAAAGCTTTTTAGGTTAAGTACATTATTAATGCAAATGTCGATAATAAAAGAATTAAAGTCTTGTTCAATGGTTTTTAAATATTTTTTATATGTTGATAAGTATTAATTATAAAGTATTACCCAATAATATACAAATATAATACATATCAATAAGTTAATGAAAATGCTTTCGAAAATGCTCCTGTCAAAAATTAGCGGCAAAACTTCGTTCTCGTTGATAAGCATTACCAATCACAATGATTGAGTATTTTCGGAATGTGATATTTATTTAATTTAAGTATTTGTAAAATAAGTAATATTTCAAGGTCGTTCTGGCTTTTTCACAAATAATACTAGGCATTTATGGAAATGATGCAATTTTTGTGAAATGTAAACAACATGTACTATAATATTTTTGTTGATTTGAAGCACTTATACAATGTATTTTTTAAAAATTATATTGCGTTTCACTTTCCATTTCCTTTGGGACTGTTTTTAATGTATTTTTATGTATTACAGACTTATAAGGACAATTTACGAGTTTGTTAGAAAATAACTTCAACAAAGAAAGAAAAGAAGGAATACAAAAAATGGAGAAACCCAGAAGAGCCAGTCCTGATAAAAAGGGAAAACTGCCTAATGGATCTAACGCTATAGCTGATCAAAATAATAACAAGATAATCACTTTTCATGATGAGCTTGAAACGATATTTTCGAGTTACTCTCAGAACTTCAACGTTGTTCATATCAATGCCCAGAGTATACCTAAACATTATCTCTCCTTGTTAGCGACATTCGTCAATCTTCATAACGTCGATGCCGTATTAGTATCAGAAACATTTCTCAAACAGTCAATGAATGCAAAAGCAGGCGATATGCCAGGTTTCAACCTGATACGCAACGACAGAGTGGGCAAAGGCTGTGGAGGAGTCGCGATTTATTTACGGAAAGAGCTCAACTACAAAATTGTGGCCAAATCTTTGAGTTATTACACAAGTTCTGCTGAATACATTCTAATTGAAGTCTATCATAATAAAACTAAGATACTTCTCGGTGTATTCTACAGTCCGAATTCTACAATTAATTACTTCTCAATTTTAGAAGACTTACTCAAGAAGTACCGTCGTGACTATAAGTATGTGAATATACTTGGAGATTTCAACACAGATACATTGAAAGCAAATAGACGTGTTAATAGATTATTATCTATTGTTGA